TGATTTGTTACTGTTAGAAAAAAGTAAACTCAACATACATAGAAACACAAAGAAAACCCAATGGAATGTTTCAATGTATTGAATGATTTAATTTAAATTGAGTTCATTTAGTTTCGTGTGAATAATCAGATTAACATGGAAAAACATATTTTGTCTATTCCAGCATCACCAGTTTTTGTTGCAGACAATACACAAGTTCAAATTGGACAATATGGAAAAATAATAAAATTAACAATTATTATTTACGATAAGCTCTATTGTAGCAAAGTTTTGATTAAAAAGAATGGTACCACTGTTAGGGTTAAGACAACAATGGAAAATATAACAACATATGATATATTTCATGGAGCAAAAGTAAGAGTTTCTGGAGTGCAATATAGTTTTCACCTGCATTTGACATCAGCACACGATTTCACATGCTACATGGTGGAAGCATGCAACAATATAGGATGTAATTATTTTGACGTACGAGTACAATCTGCAAGTAAGTAAATCAGAATCTTGAATGAATATGTTAAACGATAGATTTTTTTAGATATAAGATAGATTTTTTTAGATATAAGATAGATTTTTTAAGATATAAGATTTTTTAAGATATAATACAAACTTTTTTTTTATTTCTGCCAATTTGTTAACCTATAAAGACGAAAATGCTTCAAAGAAACAAATGTTGATGCTAGTTCGTATATTTTGTATGCATGGACAAAACAATACAAAAGTAAATAATTTAAAAAAAAAGTGCTTACACTGATGACATTATCAAGGATGTTCACTCTCAAATAATGGCATGTACGCAACAGAATCACTACATTAACCCCCCACCCCCCTAAAAAAAAAGTACCAATTGTTATAAGAGTGATAATACTTTCTTTTAAATCGCAATCATTATTTCTACTACACTACAATACAATAAACAAAGAAATAATGAAGATGGTGTTAAAATAAAAAAATGATTTAAAAAAACATTTTTGGATTACAGTATTGTAATTGTATTTTCCGCAGTTTTTTCTTAACGTTAACTCAAATATTTTGTTGTTTTTGTGAGAAATTCAATAAGATTGATTTTAACAAGAAATGGAAAAGTAAACGTTAACAAGTCATAACCTGAGAATAGAAAACACAATAATGTTGACCTAACATATTAAAAATGTTCAATACTTGTTTAAACGCGTCACAGGGTTTTGAAATATAGTTCGAAAAAATATAAAATTTCAATATATAATTCATACCATTTGGATTCAGAACGATAGAACATTTAAACAGATTTTAACCTATAATGGTTTACTTTTACATATTGTGACGATAATGGAGAGTAGTCTCATTGGCATTCATACCACATCTTCTTAATTCTTTCAACACTGATGTTAAGACGTGTCGCTTATAACTTAAAGTGTAAGTTCTTTTTGTTAGATTTCTTCAAGAACTAGCTCTTCTTTCCTTAATCATGTTAATTACAAGCAATTTTATAATTTAAAAAAGCTGTTTCAAACAACAGCTCACAAAATTATTTTGTTAATATTTTTTTGTTACAAATTATATTTACAGGTTGTCCGGAACCGCCATCAAATGTTTCAGTTAAAGCAACAGGACAGATAGTTACCGTGTCATGGATCCCAGGTTTCAATGGAGGTTTCGATCAAGAGTTTGTCTTAGAATTTGGAACCTACTTCAATTCGAACGTTACAGTAATAGTACCTGACAAGGATACTAAAGAAGAGAACATGAACCACAGTATATATAACCTGATCCCAAATACAGCATATTTTATCTGCATATTATCAAGAAACAAGATAGGAGATAGTAATAAAACAGATTACGTCGCTTTCGTGACCTCACGTATGTGCCTCTTAAACTTCCTTTAAGATTTAGATTGCAAAAAACAAAAATGCCTATGGGCGTCTTTGTGGTATGCACTGCGTCTATCAACATATTAAAATGTGTCCACACTCGTTTTCAGTTACTTTTTTAAATTATATAACTCCTTGCATATATCTATTTTCTATAAATTCTTGGGTTTCAAAATTTTTGGACTGAGCGTTCCTGAACAGGGCTTTTGCAGGACCAATTTGTACAGTGTTATTTTATCTAGAACCCAAGGGTATCATCGGATTATTTGTGCAAACGTACTGAAATTATTATTAGCATATATTTTTGTGAATTCGACGTAAGAAATTAATTAGATCAAATATACTTCAATCTTCCTCACGCAATGTTATTGGCAGATTTGGTTATTCTTCGTTATATAAACCAAGATAAATCATTAAAAGTTCTTCGGACATATCAAATTTATAAAGTATTACATGTATTTTCTTTTAAACTAACTGTAATCATTTCATTTATGCAGAGATATCACAAAAAGAGTCATATTTTCATAGAAAACTTATAGTACTACCAGTTGTTACCACGATTGGACTGTGTTTTATTATAGGAATTGGAATTGTTCTTTACAGGAAACAGAAAGGTAAATAGTAATATATATATATATAAAAAACAAACACAAAAAAAAACACAAAAAAAAAAACGGAGATAACAGCCGAAGTTTTGATGGGATTCGTGTTGCTCCTTACTTTTTACAGTGAAGTATTTGTACACTGTTGATTGATATTTCTTCGTTTTGATTCTAACTATGTAAATGTCCACTGGTGTTAAACTGATCATCGTAATTGCAGTTACGGTGATCCCAACATGGCGGAGCCCAAAACAGGTAAAATCGTCTTTTTGTAACTTCTCCGTGTACACGAGTTGTTTTAAAAAATTACTCAGCCGCTAGGTTGATATGTACGGTATTGTTGTATGTGTGTGTTCTTAATATCATATGTTACCTTGTTACCGAAATAAAAGCCAATGAAAATTTACGGAAGATCATCGTAACTCCAAGAATATTGTTTGTTATGATAGCCGTAACTTGATTATAAGTTAGTCGTATCTTAGACATGATCATAGTAACTTGTTAGTGATGATCGTAACTTTCTCTATATGCTGATAGACGACTATATATAAATCGTGATTGAAACCTTGCTTGAGTAAAATTACCCGCACCCAATAAAAGATGTAAGGTAATGCTATTGGTTAAAGTATTTGACCCAATACCCTTGAGAACAGATACAAAATCATCATGTCGATTTATTTTCTTTCGAGCATCACATGCATCTATGAATGAATTAATCAATGAACTGTCAATCTTTGTTGTTTGTGTTGATGCTTCTGATTCTGTATTTGAAAAATGTTTCACATCATTCGAACTCTGATTTTTTCTTTTGAAGGTTATCTTTTTTCCTTCTGTATCTAGATTTAGTATAATACCTCGATCTACATATTCTTTAAGAGTTTGTATTTTCCATGCAAAATGCAGTGACTGAAATGCAAAATGTCCTAATCGCTCCTCAGCCACTTTTTTTTTTGGAAACTGAATGTTGTATCAGTTCCTTTGATGTGGGTAGATAAGATGATCGCCAATACTGCGTCTGCTCTAGACATAAAAGAACACATATAGCACATATAACCTACAAAAAATGAAGTTAGTAAGAGTGTTAAATAAAGATATAATGGAAACTATAATCTAGTATAGTTTTAACATAAGGAGGCATCATATTCTTAATATCGTTGACATGTGGTTGTCCCGAATATTATAACAATATTTGTATAAATGATCATGAAAAATTGCAAACTTACCTTATGTTGAAAATATATTTCGATCACGAATGTTGTTTACGCGTTTGTTGTTATCTTTACACACCTTTTTTTTTAAATATTCCGTTAGCAGAGGGTTCTGACAAAATCAGTTACTATGATCATAGATATATTTTATACAGCTACGATTATCTTTCAAGTTATTTGTCCATAAGTTACGACTATCTTCTTTTGGAGTTACGATGATCTTCCGTAAATTTTCAATGGTATTATTTCGGTAACAAGGTTACATGTGATATTAAGAACACACACACAATGCCGTACATATCAACCTAGCGGCTGAGTAATTCTTTGAAACAACGCGTGTACACGGAGAAATTACAAAAAGACGATTTTACCTGTTTTGGGCTCCGCCATGTTGGGATCACCGTAACTGTAATTACGATGATCAGTTTAACACCAGAGATTGTCTGTATTTCTTTCAAGACATTTTTGTTTGTCTCCTTGCTCTGGTATATCACTTATTTCAACAAGATCCAATGACATGAACGTATTATAGTTGTCTTAATGACCCATAAACTATTCGCTATTTCAAAATGATAGTTTCTTTACGATTTTGAATTCATGAAATAAATTCTTAGATAATATACATCATAAACAATGTCATACATGTAAGAATTCTCTTGATAATCTTTTAATGCTGTTTTCGTGATTTATTTTAGCAAAAGGAACAAATTCCAGGTATGTTGTATAATAGATAAGATTCTGCATTTCTGTCATACGAAAATGGAATTGAACGATTGGTATGACTGAATGCTATATTCTGTTATATATTTCTGTTAAATCGAGTATGTACATACAGATATTTTTATACGCATATCGCAAGCTTAGTGTTGAAGCCCTTGAGATGAAGAACAGCAATACAAGCGCTGATCATTTGGCTCATAAGTAATATTTCTGTTAAATTATATTGACAAATATAGTGCCCTCTCTTATTAAAATGAGCATTGAACATAACGCGAAAGAATTATTTCGTATAAATAAATTGCTATTACCACATTACTTTTCGTCAATGACTCTTGAAACAAATTATTTTTTATACAAATTGATTCGGTGCTGAAGATTAATTAATCGTTATTAATAATTAATAAAGTAATTTGGCATACAAGTGCGAAGTCAGTTGTTAATCTTTACACAACAAACAGTCGAATAGATAAGTGATGAGTTATACTGTTGTGGAATGACAGTCTACATGATTTTGAGAAAGAAATATCACCGAAAAAGCATTAAATAAAGAGAAAACTGTGAAAATATTCTGCCTTAGAATAGTATTTATATTCAATAATTATGCACATATTAAATTTACTTTTAGTGGACTTGAAGATGAATATGCTTCAGATACTCAAGGTACAATTAAAACCCAATTTATTTAATTGTTTATTTTAATGAAGAGTAAAAAAACAAGAACAAAAACGAACTCCGAGGAAACTTCTAAACGGAAAGTTCCTAAGCAAATGGAAAAAAAGCCCAAACACATCAAATGAATGGTTAACAACTGTCATATTCCTGATTTGAATGTAGAAAATGAAGGATTAACCTGGTTTGTTAGCTAGGTAAACATCTATCTTCAGAATTTTCCTCGGAGTTTGTTATTTTTGTTTCTTAACTTTTTGTATGATAGTCGAATACAATTTCATTATGTTGACAACGATGTGGGAACAAAACTAACAGACATATTATTAGGTTAATATGTCGAAAATAGGGGTACATCATTCAACATTATGTTATAATCCATAAACACTACAAAAACCAGCAAATGTGTCAACAAAGACAAACAAAATGGCATAAAGGCAAATCAAACTAGCAAAAACGAAAGATAAGTATACAAAAATTTACCATAGTACATCAACACAATGACGGGTACCGAGCCACGTGAAATGGATACTGTCAAAATAGGCTAAAAAGTAAAAGTAACAATTTACAAAGACAAATTAAAGAATACTATAACACGTTATTAAGATGATTAGGAATTCATTATCAACTGCATACTTTATCATTAAGTTAAAAAAAAAAAAACAATATAAAAGGTTGTTTTATTCGAAGTAAAGTGTATAAAAGGAAACGTCATGAATATTTATAAGGTGGTACATCAATTTTAAAGATGAGAATATGAAGTATTATTAGGAAAGAGATAAATCAACAGAGGAAACCACATGACACACAACATGCACAAGTTAACAATTAAAGTTCACTGTACGACCTTTAACAAAGAATGATTGTTTGTCAATTGCTAAACGTCCAGTAGCAAGCATCTCATGAATTATCAGGACGACAACAAATCAATAATACATTCAAAAGGTAGATCCCGTATAAGAGGGCAACCGGAAAGAATGTCATGGACGGCTACTGAGAAATGAGAATATATTAGATTGTGACATAAACTTAACATTGCAACAGGCCACTTATGAATCCCTCAATGACTAAATGTAGTGACATTACTTTTATATCAGTCTCCTTTGGGGGTAAAAATATCTTTAGTTTTAAAAAAAAAAAACAATTTAAGCGAAGAACAAAAATACAAATAACTATAAAGGTTGCTACGATATAAACCATTAATTGTTAAAGAAAAAATTTTTTTTTTTTAATGTTTAATTTCTAGGGAGTTCCGTTGAAAACCGCCTGTACCAGTCTTCTGAATTTTTAAATCCACAAACTAGACGAGGCGAAGAAGAACATGATATCCAAATACCTTCATCTTCACATGATAATCAACTATACCAGATGCAGATGCAAACTTACAACGAAAATGGTGGTAAAATATTTATTTTATTAAATTAATTTTCTTATTAGAGGTGATGATTTTCATACATGCACTCGTGCTGATATGGAGGATATACTGTTCGTGTCCATACGAAACAACCCATGATGTTAAATGTAGGCACTAGAAAAAGGGGGCAAATTTGCATTTACCTCCATAGCAGACTTCTTATTTCTCAATGTTTATTTAACGGTAAATTTTAAAGGACATTTTTCAGAATTCCGGTTCTTAGGAATTATGCCACATTCGAACATACTTTGATACAAGTAAAATCAATTGCATACAATGTTCGTTGTTTCTGACAGGTATATAGAGAATTGCCTTTTTTAGTACTCCATTATCCAACTTGTAAATAGGTAAATTAGATGGCTTGTTGGTTTGATTCCCTGGTCAGATGTATGCATTTGTTTGAAGTTTTGCAAGGCAATTCATGTTTTTCGTTAGTAATTTTTTCATTTAAAAAAGAAGATTGTTTTCTGAGACACACAAACATTATTTGATTGTAAATAGCGTAATTTTATCAGAACATTTTACCGGGTTCATTATCATGCAAAAATGTTCATGTACGGACATCCAAATCCGAAAAGACTACTTTTTTTTGCAAACCGTATACCCATCACATTTTATATTTACATATATAAAAGTTGAGGTTGCTGAATCCCTATTATTGTCACGTCAACCTATTATGTCTGTTTGGTTCCTCACTCAATTTTGTCAATATATCGAAACTATACACAATTGTGATTCAAGTAGGAGGTTTCGCTAGCTTCAAAACAAGATTTAACCCTAAATTTTCATCTGTAATACTTGTACCAAGTCATAATTATGGCATTTGTCATTCGCTTTTTTGTTGATTGACAGCGTTTGATTTTGTCAGTTTTTAAGGACTTTATGGAAACTTGCCTGGGAGTTAAGTATTTTTGCTATACTTTTTTCGCGAAAGTTAGTTATAATATTCAACTTCATAGAAGTATCCATTTCCCTTTATTGGTGATCGTCTTAAAAGAAAAACGAATCAAAATTAAATAAGGGGAGATATACCAAGGGACAAAACGGAAAAAAATGGACAATACCTTTTCCAAAATGAAAAACAACAAAAAGATAAACAAAGATAAAGTAATAACGATTATACGATAATCATAATCTTTTATAGCGCACTTTTCTGCATTTTAATCTTTAATCGTTCTAGGACGGAGTTTGCAATGTGCGTTACTTCGGAGGATTGAGGAACATTTAGCAACACCTATGCCAAAGGTAAATGCACTATATTGAGTTTATTGCTATTGAATTTATAAATATTTATAGTTTTGCAGAAGTTATTGTTTAAGATTGAAGATTACAAAAGGCATTAATAGATTAAACTTCATTAGTCAACAGAATATCTTACAAGCGTTGAAAATACAAGTTTCTTATCAACGACGACACATGATGTCGAATCAGACGATATGTTTTGCCAAATGGAAGTTTCTGTTGAATCTAGCTATTGACTCCTTTTTTATTAACATATAAAATATAAACAGTAAAGTATATTGTCGATCTCAAGCCAAAAGTAAACAGAAAGTTTATTCAATATGTTTTAATGTTTAGAATGAGGATTATTTGTGTAGTAAGAAGAGAAGACAGAGACAAACCCATTTTTCGGGACATGTGTATATGTCGAAAAACTACTAGTTTACTATTATACAATACTATATGTTATACTATAAATTACAAAAATATGGACTTTTTGCGGTTTTGTTATATATGCAGTACTCAACGATTTTGTTTGTTTGTTTTAACGAGCTAATTTTGTTATAACGATGCTGAATGCTAACATAACTGTGGCAGATCGATCACAATATATTTGAATATTTCACTATTTTTGTCAATATAACGGAGCTGCAAATGTATGATAGTCAATTTTTTTTATACAAGTGAGAGATATGACGAGATGTAAATCCAGGTTTAACATACCATCTTCTTCGGAAAAATCCTATACCAGGTCAGGAATATAACAGTTGTTATCCATTGGTTGACAAAGTTGAGCGTTTCGTTTTTTGTCAGTTTTTATGGACGTTTCCCTTTTCAACTTACCTTGGAGTTCGGGGTTTTTGTAAATCAATTTCATACTACTGCAGAATAAGATGAATTTAATGTACCCTAAATGATTCTACAAGTTTTATGTAACAATATCCTACATTTATATAATTCAGGTATCAATTAAGTGAAATATTAAGCAATTCCTCAATTTGGTTGAATGTATTTCCAAGTGAAATGTCAATACATGTACCTAATCATTGTATTCCCTCGTTTATATAATGTGAAAAAACTATATGATTTACAACAACATATTTGTCTAGGAGATATGACAGATGTTTTCCAACATGTAGGTCATATACATAACACGCACGTTCCGAGACTCATTGCGTACTATACATGTAGTTTGTAACAACGACCTCACAGCCTTAATATATTCGGGAAAAGTTTATATGCATTCTGTTTTATCTTTTGTTCATGGTCTGACATAATCCTCGTCTAAATTTATAACTTTTTAAATTTAATTGCAAGGATTTTTGCTCATACAGATTTTATGCAAAGAAAACGAAAACAAAAAAAGACGTTTATGTACAGTACATTCCATCATTGTCGGTATCGTTTATTGTTGTGTTTTGTTTCTTTGGGCTTCAAATACAGTGCATACGAGAACATTGATCCTTAAGAGAATGTTTGAAAAAACTGGCGCAATAAATAATTCCCTATTATATAATATTAAGTACATTTCAATTGCAGATTACTGAAGCTGATCTGAACTATGCAGACATTGTTTTTGAAGACCGACAGTTGCCTGGCTCAGTAATTATTCACGGAATTGATAATAAGACAATCTATTCTGACATAATTGTTGGAGCCCAACCGCAAAATCTACTATCCACCAATGATAGTTCAAGCGAAAGTGAAGACGATTTCATATATGTAGATGGAATCGAAAATTACACAGAAAGAAGGAAAATGAATGAATCTCAGCAATAATTGTAGTGTGCATACTGTGTTTATATGTAACATTTAATTGTCATTGTGTTGTACATGTAAATTTGCAAAGTTTTCTGTGGATACCTTTGCAAAATATTTTGTGTGACCTGCTAGTTACCGTGATTTTGTGATTTCTGAGATTTTAACATTTGTACAAGATACCAGAGGGATATTCAAACTCATAAATCGAAAATAAACTGACAACGCAATACATAAAAAAGAAAAAGACAAACAGACAAACAATAGTACACAAAACACAACATAGTTTAGGTATCCAATACAGTGATGGAAGATCCAGTTCCTCATCGTTGGTTGAAATTTCAAAGGAACATAGAACAGACCTATGATTATCCAGGATTTCCTCTTTAGTAAGTGTCGTGGGGGTATATGTTGAATTTCCAAGTTAAGTGTCAATACCTTATTCATTTATCAAGCAGTTTATGTAATGTGATTCACACACAAAAACTATGTTGTTTATGGCGTTATGTCTCTGCGGGGACAACTACATATTTGTCATGGAAATAGGACAAGTGTTTTGCAACATTTAGGTCTTTTAAGATTGACATAGCATGGGTATTGATAGATCCATTCAGTTTCTTTGTATCAACGACCTCATAGCCCTTATTCATTCGGAAAGAGTATCTACGTCTTCTTTCCCGCGTTTAACCTACTGCCTGGCATAATCTTAGACTGAATCCATCTGTTTTTTTAAGTTGTGTTTCTAATTGATGGATTTAGGCTCCCGATATTTTGGACCTTTGGATATCACATTTTGCAGGAAAGTGTTATTGACAATGGTGATGTCACCGGTAATGACGTGGGCAGCCGGATTATATATGAACGGGGAACTATCACAGGTGCAGTCAGGAGGTTTAGACTTGAAGTCGTCAATATTGAGATCCTTCGACACGTGTTTGTAATTGAAAATGTTAGTTGTAATTGGTTTGGTATAGGTATAAGAATTGAATGGTACACACTGATCTTTAAAATGGGAAGGCATTTTCGATTGATCTAATCTATGACGAAGGATATTGCTCAAGTTCACTGCATCGAAACCTTCGTTCAGCAAAGGAAAGTGCGGTAAAGGTTCCATTTATCACAAATATTAAGTCCGTTATTTTGAGCTGGAAAATGTTTCAAGTTGAAATATACACTTTAAAAACGAAAACATAAATTAAACAATTCGAATGTGTTCTTCAATGCAGATAAAGGCAAAGGATGAATCAACAAAATATTCAAAAATAGATAAGAATATATCAAGTATAGATTTCACTGCTTTTTTTCAATTAATATTATCTTCATTTAATCAAAATGTGATTTGTCACTTGCTGTCATTTTGAATGAATTAAAAAAACAACTCATCAACGATACCAGGCTTTACATTTTGTATACACAAGACGCTCATCATTGGCACACTAAATGAAAGGGCATTTAAAGGCCTAAACTCCAAATTCAGCCAAGGCAATCTATGCCTAAAAAACGACATTCAATTTTAAATTTGCAATCTTCAAAATATATCCGTTATCTTTTACATAAAAAGATATAATGTCTGCAGATATCCTGTAGTGATCTCAGTTAAATTTTGTATCTTGTTATCATCAAATATCGATTACATGTTAATGACTATTATATATAATAGCTCAATACTTTATTTCAAAGTTCTGTAAATGGGTCATATACAATGATATATAATTTCAAAGAATCTTCAACTAATTAATATAAGGACGGCGATATTTTATAACATTAACCACAAGTATCCGAGCAATGTGTAAAAATAATTTTTTTACTACGGATCGATTGGATAAAAACTTTTATTCTTTTGTGGATTTTGAATTTAAACGCAACAAAGCGATTCGTCTTGCAGCCAATAACAAATTCATATATGTGTAAAAGAAAAAAAAATGTGACGGATTTGCTTCTCTCGGTACACGAAGTAGATACTAAGCAAACGGTAAGCGGTTGAGCATGGGACGTAAGTCTTTAGCTCAGTCGGTTAGAGCGCGCTGCCTTGCAACACAGATGTCCTGGGTTCGAGTCCTGGAGGAAATAATGTGATTTTGTGGCATGCATTTTGCAACTTCACAAATAAAACACGATGGTCTTGAAATATAGATTCTGGGTGCTTACGTTGTGTATCATCTTAAAAACAGTATAGTATTCTTTTATTTGTCATAAGGGCACAAATGCATTTTGTAACTTCACAAATAAAACACGATGGTCTTGAAATATAGATTCTGGGTGCTGACGTTGTGTATCATCTTAATAACGGTATAGTATTCTTTTATTTGTCATAAGGAATATTACTTTTACTGTTCCGTCGGTTTTTAGTGATATCCATTTGAGGTGACTCTGTACTTCTACATTCCGTCATTGTGGGATTGTTCTATGATAATTTATGTATTCTTGTCATCATTTTTGCTAATGTGATTTGTTTATATACCTTTATGTGTTTCTTTGATTCATATGACGTGCCTCTGTCCTTATACATCCCATCATTGTGTTATTGAGATATTGTACAATATTTAAAATTGAGAATGGAAATGGGGAATGTGTCAAAGAGACAACAACCCGACCATAGAACAGACAACAGCAGAAGGTCACCAACAGGTCTTCAATGCAGCGAGAAATTCCCGCACCCGGAGGCGTCCTTCAGCTGGCCCCTAAACAAATATATATACTAGTTCAGCGATAATGAACGCCATACTAAACTCCAAATTGTACACAAGAAACTAAAATTAAAAATAATACAAGACTAACAAAGGCTAGAGGCTCCTGACTTAGGACAGGCGCAAAAATGCGGCGGGGTTAAACATGTTTATGAGATCTCAACCCTCCCCCTATACCTCTAGCCAATGTAGAAAAGTAAACGCATAACAATACGCACATTAAAATTCAGTTCAAGAGAATATTTGTATTCTTGTCTTTTTCTGCTAATGTGCTTTGTCTATATGCCTTTTTGTGATTTTGTGGTACATATGACGTGGCTCTGTACTTATACATCCCGTCATTGTGTTATTGTGCTATGGTAAATTTTGCGTATTATTGTCTTCAATTTTTGGCTAATATTGTCTATATGCATTTTTGTGCTTCTTTGTCTATATGCATTTTTGTGCTTCTTTGTCTATATGCATTTTTGGGTTTTTTTGTCTATTTGCATTTTTGGGCTTCTTTGTTACATATTTGTTTTTTGTTATAGTGATTAAGATTATAACACAATGTTGACTGATGTACCCCTGTTTTTGACATTTTCACCTATTATGTCTGTTTGTTTTGTTCGCACATCGTTGTCAATACAATAGAATTTGATGCAACTGTCATACAAGTGAGAAGTTTAACTAGCGATAAAACCAGGTTTAATCCTCTATTTTTTACATAAGAAAATGTCTGTAACAAGTTAGGAATATAACAGTTGTTATCAATTCGTTTGATGTGTTTTTATGTGAGCTTTTGAATTTTCCTTTGAGTTCAGTATTTTTGTGATTTTACTATTTGCTGTCTGGTTACATTTAAATTTAACACCTTCTGTTCATATTTTGCAATAGAGTAAAACAACAAAAATAACTGTAAAGATAAAGTGGATTTTTTTTTTATTTGGCAAAGTATTTTTTCTTTGAGTCCATTATTTTGAAATGAAAAAAAAGTTGAAACATAGATATGTGAGAACGCGAAAAAATAGAAATTCTTTATCCTGTTTAACTTAAAATGAACTGACATTAACATGCCAAAAAGAAGAAAAGAATATAGCGGAAATCTTTTGAATTTTAACTACATTTAGGCAAATAAGTTAAACAGCGAAATGTTCGATAGGCTAAACATTCAGATCAGAAAGGTCGTTTGCCATTGATAACAAAATGTTTTACCGATGCAGGCCCTTTTTGTTTTCAGTAAAAAAATATTATAGACATTGTCCACTTTTTCCATTGAATTTTATGAACATTTAAATTGACGGTGCATTACATTTGCCATTATGTTTGCGAGCAAAAATCATTACGACATTTTGATCAAATTGCGCGCATTTATTTTACAGGTAAAATCAGGTTATTTCAGGTAACTACAGGTAATAATACTTATCTATTTACTAATTTAATCAATTGTTTACGAGTACAAGTACCCCTTCCGTTAGTCTGAAGTGGGACATCGAGTAGGATAAGTCCGTTTCATTATTATGTACAAGCACTTAATCCTAAAACATATATACAGATAAAAATGTTAAAAATGTAAAAACATAACTTCTAAAAAGGAAAAAGTACAAATAGTACATGACTTTACATGTCGGTACGTGCCAAAAATTTGAAGCTAATTGCTTTCAAACAAACAAAACTCCATGTTTGTGCATTGACACACCTTTACACACTACAAAAAATATTTACTAACTTGAAAGCGACAACTATTCGGTGAAACACTATTTACTGTGTAATATTCGCAATGAATTTACATGTTTGCCTTAAGCTATAACGGGGTTTATCATGATCACTTTATATTTTTTAGAATTATATATGAACAAAATATAATATGAGTTAACAAATATTTTCAATATTAATTTATATCATATTTATTTTGAAAATTAACAGTTATCACTATAGTCATTTATATTTCTATGTTATTCATATTCATATTACCTTTATATTTACCTGAGTATACACGTAAAAACATTTGGGCAATTGTAATCAAAAGCTGCGCGTAAATGTAAAAAATAATTATCCCCAAATGCAGGGAAACGTTATGCTTTCGAAAATGCTAGCTTTGACATCTAAAATGAATGCACACACGTTAATTTAAAAAAAAAACACAAATCAAACAACGACCTATCTAGTCAACTTTTAAATATTTTTAAAAATTCATTTTGAAATTAAGGTTAGAAATTCGAGCAATATTTGGGACTTATCAAATCCCTTTATTGAATTTTAAGCTAGGATGAACCAATCATCTATTTTAACCCATTCATGTCAAATTAAAACGATATATCTATTTATGAATGAGGATATGACATGTATAAGATCACGTGACAGCTTAGAAAATATAAGTATCTACAGCACGATTTACGTTTATGAACTCTTTTTAAGAGGTAAGAATCTTATATTATTTAGAAATTATTTTCTGACATTTGCACATATATGAATGAACCCCCCCCTAAAAAAAACACTTACAAAAACAAAGCAAAAACAGAAATACAGAAACGAAAATCTATATTGAAAATTCAATTACATATTTTGTAACTTAGAGGACCGAACAACAAACTATAAAGGCATCACACATGACTAGTGTGAAACCATTCAAACAGGAAAACCAACGACAAACTCGCTGTCGAATATTTGGATAATTATTTATATTGTATCTGCTATTTCCTTTTCTTTTAATTAAGCAGGACGAATAGGATAGTCTCATGTTTAAATTTATACCTCCAAAACAATACACAGGTCAGTTTAATGGTCCCTATCAAGAATATGGTGAAACATATTTTCTACATAAGAAAATGCCTATCACAGGAATATGACAGTAGGTAATCACTCGTTTGATGTGTTTGAGCTTTTGATTTTGCCATTTGATTAGGGACTTTTCGTTTTCAATTCTCTCCGGAGTTCTGTATTTTTGTGATTTTACTTTTTGATACGATATGATAGTGTTTCAAATCACTAGTGGTAAATGTTCGAAGTCTTGGATCTAAAGATATCAGAAGAGTAGTCTAATCTGTAATTTTTCAGATTGTGACGTTGTGACTGAGTGTGGATTCGCATGGCAGATGATGCATTAAGATAATGAGACGCTTATTTTATCATCGATTTGAAGATCAGAGAACTTAACAAAATATATGTTTGCAAGTAATACATCTGATTTTTCCCATGTATTTGACCTAGAAATATATGTCTATTCAATTTTAATACAACTAGACGAAAAAACAAAAACATTTAAAAAAGTCAAAACCAAAACCACTTCGTGTTGTATATCTTTTGTAATACATATCTAATATATTATACTATCAACAAAAAACGATACAAGGCAACGCCTTTTCTATATATAATGAAATTGAATACACTGTACAAAGGAAAATAATTGCCAAACTGGTCCAATATTTACAGCTGTTATTTGCTTATCAAAACCATTAATTTAAGGCAAATACGAGAATTCTTTTTTTTTTCAATTTTTGTTATTTAAAAATTGTTGTTTCACCCAAAAAATTCAAAATCGATATTAGACTTAAATCTTTAAACTTAAACATCGTCTGTTTAAAATTTTGAATGTCTTTACATCTTCGAAAATAAGTGCCGACTTTTTTCATCTTTTCCCGCAAAATAAAGTTGACCCCTATGTTAAATAACATGTTATTTTCTAACTTCCAATTTGGTCAAATTCTTTAAATCATATGCATT